TGACTCATTCGGTCCTACATTCGTGCACGCAGGTCGCGCCCACACAAGTTCAAGGCTCGAAGACCAAAAATCGTACATGTCGACTTCCGAGCTTGACGACTGAGAATGAGCAATAACGAGGTCTTCCGATACCTGAAACAAAGGCATCGAGTTGTATCCTCGTCGCCTCTCCAATACTTAAGTCAGAGAGAGAATATGAAAATAGCATATGGTGTAAATTGTGTGTAAAACATACCTTGGTAATGAATGAGAATGATATATTTATAAAGGTAGGCAGTGGACTCCTAGTAAGACTACAATGTTGAGATTCCTAGGAGTTCTAGTGTAAAGGGAAGTTGTTGTTTAGTTCATCTTGTGTTTTCCGGGTGATTGGGTTAGAATGAGACTCTAGCGTGAGAGTCCTCTCAGAATGAGGAAACGTATCAGTGGAAGGATTCTCTCTCTCTTAGGTTAGATAAGCCCATACATGAAAGGGAGTTACGAGAAATGAAACGGAGCTCGAGGAAGGCTATTGATGAAGGAAGCCCGACGTGATGGTACCCGAGGAAGTTAACCTCTTTTTGAGGACAATTGAAGGAAAAAACTCCTCAGGATAGGTCCTCGAGCTCATCCTGATATTGGTATCATCACTGTACATATATAATTCTAATGTATAATGCTGAGTCAGCTCAGATATATCGATTTGTATGAGTCAGCACTAGTATATAAATGAATGGACATATTGTAAACAATCCAGATTCCATTTTATGAAATTACTTTTTCTCTCCTGAAGACCTCCCTCGATCCTGTTAATCTCTCTCTCACAAAACTTTGGCTTCGATTCTCAAACAGTATGAACCATTGGTGTCCAGAGAAGAGACGTCTAAAAGAATGATCTGTAGTTTTACAAACTGAACAACTCCAAGCACAAAAAAAAAAGGACTTTAAAAGACTGCTCAATCTTGAAATCTAGAAATAGCTAAATTAGTACTTGTTCCTGTCAAAACTGAAGAGGAAATGTGTCCGTGTGATAATCATTATGGCATAATGAAATCCAGAAATTCTTTTACATAGATAGCAAAAGTTACAGATTCGAATGAACATCATTGTTTTGGTAACTATCAAAAGAAGTTTTGGAAAGAAAATAAAGGCATAAAAGCCTCTTGCGTGAGACAGACACCTATGAGAATTACTTCAAGCTCTATTTTGGAAAACATAGAGTGTTCATGTTAAATAAAAATATCTGTAAATCCAAACCAGACAACTATACCTGGTGACTCAGGAAGATGAGCAGAAATATTTGGTTGGTAATCATTTTTCCCTTCCTCCACTGCTGCAGGTGGAGGTTGGAGAGGAACCTTCTCGTCGGCAAAATTAAAGATATCATTCAGAACAAAATAATTGCTCGCTTGAGGTGCAAGGAAAAATGTTTGCACAAATTGCCTCCACCCACCAAAATCCCTTGACTTGGCTGTGTGCGAGCGGCGGTTATGCCAGTGCGCACGTGCAGGCTTTTCCCGCACATGAATCAGCAATTTCCTTTCGCGATTCAAACTCTTTTGAAACCCAAACTGAACGCAATTTTGACGCATTTTCTGGCTCTAAAAATACAAAACAAGAGCGAGCTACACATTAGAAAAAAACCTCACTTGCCTCTTCTTATACAGTAGTATCATCAAATTCATCAAGAACAAATGGTCAATTGCTATATTTTGAGAGAGGAGATCAAGTCTGAATTGAAGTTCAATTATATCAAGATTTCGAAGATCAACATATTTTGAATTATTTCATGATCTGGGTCATATTTTTCTATTCTTCTTCTTGCAATTTATATATTAATGTGTTAGGCTGGATTCGTTTTTGTATTGAATGAAGATGAACCATATTGTTTATTTGTTTGAATTCAAGACTAGTAGTTTAGTTTATTTTTTGCGTTTCTTGATTAATTTTGCATGCTCATTGCATTATTTAATTGATTGGCCACTAATTAGATAATTAGTTGCTTGTTGTAATGTTGGAAGACTAACAATAAATTTAGAATGTGTTAAAATTAACACATGTGCAATAGATGTTAAGAATAACATTTATCACATGTGCAATTATATAAATAATTTAAATTTTAATGCATTCTAATAATTCGAATTCAGGTTATAAATAGATTTGGGTCATAGTTAGGATAGATTTAATTTATCTCAAATGAAAAAAATTATATATTGTAATTTTATCGATTGTCAATAGCGCATAAACGGGACTGATTGCAAATCAATAATTGAATTAAATAGCAATAAGCAGATTCGGAATCTAATACAATCATCCATAATTTGATAAAAAAAATATTTTTTTACATAATTTTTAGATTAATTCAGAATAATGATAAAAATCAAATCTGTTTGTTTACCTAATTCAAATTCTTTACGATTAAATTTGAATTGAATTTATTCCCCGTAGGACGATACACTTAGCTAATCAATTTTATTACTTGTCAACAATCTGTTTGAGAATTTCGCACTAACAATATTTATCTTAATGAGAATCATGTCGAGAAATACGAGGAAATGGTCTCAAATTCCAAACATTGATGCTGTGGAAGTCTGTATATTATATTTTTAGTTATGGGCCATGGTTTCAATTAGATATTAGGCAGGTTTCTTTGGATACATGGGGTGATGAGCATCCGGAAAAATTCAAAAGTCAGGCGTTAACTTTAACACAATTCAATTTTAAGGTTTCAAGTTTCAAAATACAAAATCCAGGTATCTATTTATTAATTAATTATTAAATAAATTTATTAAATATTTAATTCTAATATAATATAATTAACTCACCCCACCTCTACCACCCCTACCGTTCTGGTGACTATTCCGACTACCGTTCCGTCCACCACTCTTCTCCGACGACTATTCCGATTCCGACGACTATTCCAATGATCGTTCCGCCGCAACTTTATACCGACGACTACTCCGATTTTGACAATTTATACAATATGGTGACATATTCACAATTTAAATAGTCACATATTATTTTTCAGTCACAAATAATAAATTTTATACGTCACATATTATTTTACGGTTATAGTTCAAAAATTTTGTAAGTCACAATTAATTCGTTGGTCACAGATTTTAAATTTAGTTGGTCACAGATTTTTTTACGGTCACAGATTATGGGCGTGCTCGGTAGAGATTAAAATTGAAAAATTAGCCGTTATTGTTGACTTTTATTAGACAAGTGAGACCCAATAACGGTCATATTTTCAATTTTAATTGGATTTTAATCGGAAACAAACAGTCTCTATATAATTTTTAGGTCACAGATAACAAATTGGTTGGTCAGGGACTATATTTTTAGTCACAAATTACCAAATTTTAAGGTCATAGATTATATTTTTAGTCACAAAACCAAAATCACCAGATCTGCTAGATCCTCCACCTGTACTATTGTAGACTGCCACCACCACAGACGCCACTACACAAAACACCTCAGATCCCTCCCCAAATTTCCTCGCTCGATCTCGAAAAATGGCCGATGAAACCCCACAATTAACTCCACCACACACCACCTATAAATCGCCATCCACGGTGGAAGAGATTGAAACGCAGCCACAACCAGTCACCCCCACCAACAACACCACCGCAACACCGCCAAAACAACACCTCACACCACCCGCTACACACCGCCGTCACCACCACAAAAGAAGCAGGTTCCCATAAAGCCCCTACCTAACTGTAGCAGTGGCGAGGGCGATGAAGCTGCCGACGCTCACATCACCGGTTGTAAGGGCGAAGTATAGCAGCTACGATGTCGTTGCATACTCTTACATCAAAGGGCCTCGTAGCGGCGTTTGGAGGTGTCTCCAATGACGGGTGCTCTTATCGAACTCTAGCAGCGACGAGGGCGATGCCGCAGTCGGCGCTCACATCGCCGGTTGCGAGGGCGAGCACAACAGCGACGCAGCCACTGCTCGACTTTCCGGCGACGAGAGCTCCTCAATGACGACGACGATCTAAAGGTATATGAAAACGGAGAGGGTAGAGAGAGAGGATGAGAGAATGAGAGGTAGAAAAAAAATGATTTAGGGTTTAGGATTATGTAGGGTGAGTATAATAT